CTGATAGAAGGATTTATTTACATTCAATAAAATAAATAAAATCATTTTCATGAAAATAAAAAGCAAAATTTGCTGAATAATCCTTTTTATAGCAAGCCTAAGTGCTTGCATAAAAAGCAAATCTGATCTCTTTCTGATAATATGAAAGAATTACGGTTCTTCAAAAGATTGTTTTCTTGGAAAAAAAAGATACAATATTTTCTAGCTACTTACCAATTGGTGATTTTAACTTCAAATGTGTATATGAAAAATGATCTAATCGTCCAATAGTATATAACTCGTAGTTGACACAAGCAACAGAATATGATAATGCTGAACTTTCAGCAAGTGTAGGAAGGTAATAATCATCATCCGACGAAAACGACCATTCATCTAAATAATATCATACATTTATTATACAAGCAGCTTTATAAATGCTTGAACCCTCTAGTTCTTTCTATGAATAGGTATCTATCAAGTTCCAATATTAACTTAGAACTCAAACACATCTCAAATGCACGATAGTTCACAGTTGATTTCTAAGTGGATTAGTTATATTAACTTCCATAAAAATTTTTAAAAAGAAGAATTGACACTTAGTTGTCTTTCTTACATAAGTCCCTAAGAAAAATTCATCTTTTCCAAACTTCAATGTATAGAATTTTTCGACCTAGGCCTTATTTGAATATTAAACGAACTCCCAATTCAACAACATACATGGAAGTACTTTTATCTTTTGTTAATCAGCATAGTTTTTTCAATTATTTTCTATACTATGACACTATGCATGCAGGAAATTATTGCTTCGAACACACACACACACTCTCTCTCTCTATTGACACTCCTAAACATAATTTACCGTTCGGTGTTTGTTTCGGGTTGAATTTCAATGAATAATTACTATGGTGCCGATCGAAAAAAATCCAATGAAAAGGTATTTTCAATTCCATCAAAAGATAGCCCATAATCGATAGTATCTGTAATGAAAAAATCTCTGTTATAGCTCTTATCGTTGTTGAGAAAATGCAAATCTACTGAAAAGTATTGCACTACAAAATGCATCAAAAATGACCTACCCCCTAATAGTTGTGTCCACTATATCTCCAGACTGGCTTATCTATTTGAGCTGAAATTTTGGGTTTCTTCCCAAATATGTTAGGCCTACCTACTGTGGGAATATCAGCCAAGTCGGTGAGATCGATTGCACAAGGTCGGTCGTGGCTTACGTGCAATGCCTCCTATGGAGATGATAAAAATACCTCTACACCATCGCCGTAGGAGAGCACGAGTATGGCCCGAAAAGGACTTTTAAAATTTTTTTAAAAGTTTTAATTCAAATAGCAATAATACACACTGTCAATATTAAATATAAAGTCTCAAACAAATTTCGTCTATTGGTTGAGCAATGCTCCTCAATGGGTTAATCAATCTTATCGAAGTACCCGAAGAAACCTTAAATCCCCGATGAATCACCAGGAAATCCTCCTAAAATCCACGAGGAATCTCGGAAAACGGGGTTAGATAGTTAGCTCTGTCACTCACTGATTATATAACTGACAAAATATCATCTACTGAATTGCCTTTTCGTTAATAAACTCTTGTTTATCATAGATAATAGAGTCATTTATAGAGCTGGTCAGTGAACAAATCCTAGGGACTCTCGATGAACTCCCACAGAAATCTCGAGGGACTTCCTCAATTGAGCTCTCGGAGATATTTCTGTAGACTCTCTCGATATTGTTTAATGGATTGTTGACTAGAGAATATATATTCGTATATAAGGATAGACTGTTTTAAATAATTATTATTTCGAAATAAAAATCTTAAATAAATATGTTTATCTTGTTTATTCTAAAGAGTTAATCATTAATAATATAGAAATAAATGTTGAATTAAGAATTTTATTTCTAATAATAAAACTCTAATTGATGATGTTTTATTCGATATTAATTGAGAAAGATAATTCATTTAATTATAGTGACCTATATTATTAATAATATATTATAAACATGAATTCAATTGTTTATTATTAATATAAAACTAATCTCTTTAACAGTCGGTTTTTAAAAAAAATAATATTTTATCTTAATTATTGATTTGTGATCGATAACATTGTTAATTATCTTATATATATATGTTTGAAAAAGTGAATTATTTCTATAAACTGATATAGAAATATATTGTTGATAAAGATTATTATCATTTTAATTTAGTCAATATGATTATATTGGTCATTTATTAAATATCGTCTTATTAAAATCTATTCTTTCTCTAATAAATAAAATAATGTTGAACGGATTTATCATTATATGAGGATCAAATTAGGATAAACGATCTTAACAAGATAATATTATTGTTCGATAATTCAATATTTAATATAAAATTGTTTACGATTATTTGTTCGAATATAATTCTATAAATAGATAGATTAAATAAATATTGATAAGAAATTCTAATAATCGAGATAAATATCGATTGAGAGAAAGAATAAGAGTAAACATCAATATATTATTATTTTAGTTAAACCATTTAATTTAATTCAAGATAAATATTCTTATAGTTTTATTTTAATTAGAAATGGTTATATATAATATATCTTAATTATTTTATTTTATAAATAGATTTTTGAAAATTGACAAATATTTTCTTTTTCTTCTATAGAGTTAACAATTATACCAAAAATAATATTTTATTCATCTGGATATTTATTTTATCTTGTTAGAGTTATAATAAATTCTATATTATCTCGCTTTTTATTTCAGATAAATAATAAATCATCGTTTTATTGACTAAAATAGATCAATAACGATTAATTAAATTATATTTGAATATCTATTATCTCAAAAGAATTTAATTAATCCTTTATTTTTATTTTTATTGTTTGTTTCGAAAAAAGAAAATATCTTTAAATATAATTCTAATTAACTCAATTTATTTTCTATATAATAAATCCATCATATTTGAAAATAAATGTGGAAACCTCGGATTTAAATCCGAGAGTTGTGTACTTCAAAAAGTGAATCAGACAGATCACTCATCCGACGAATCTCTGGACGTTAAAATTATCCTGGCAAACCGTTTCTATAAACACTTTATTTCTATTGGCTACTGCTCAACCAATAGGATTTAGATGTGAATAGAGCTCAGATTTCAACTCTTCGCCTTGATTTACCCTAACAAAGTCGTTCTTCCGATAACTTGATTTCTATTGGTTACTGCTCAACCAATAGGAGTTCGAGGCAAACGGAGCTCAGATTGGAGTTCTCTGACCCAAAAAACCTCGAACTGTCATCACTATGATCGAAAGACAGCTCTAATTGTCGATCAATTAAAGTGTGAACACAAAGAGAACCAATTCCCGTTTAATTACCCTTGCAATAGGTGAGTTAGTCTTCTTATTTCTTTATGTTTTATATACGATTTTGTAGCTCGTGAAATTCTCTATCGAATGGTGTATAATAGTTGGGGTTTGATTTGACTATGATAGGAAAAGTTTTTTACGAAAGCGGGGATAGGTCGATTCTCGCATAGGAAGGCATAGAGAAAAATGACTATTTTTACAATAACTCAGCAATGGCTCGACCAATCCTTCTCATCTACTTCTCTCCACCGAGATATTGTTGAGACTAAAGTGTGTAGAAAATTTCATCGCAATCGGACTCTCCTTTCAAAAGTTATCGTGTAAACGGCCGGACGGACATACTGACCGATTCTATAGTGTACTCACTTTTTGAGTACAAAAAAATGCGGAAACCTCGGATTTAAATCCGAGAGTTATGTGTACTTCAAAAAGTGAATGAGACAGATAAGTCATCCTAGAATGTGTGGACATCAAAATTGTCCTGGCAAACCTTTCCTATAAACACTTGATTTCTATTGGCTACTGCTCAATCAATAGGATTTGGGGATGAATACAGATCAGATTTGAACTCTTCACCTTGATTTACCCTAAGAAACTCGTTTTTCCTATAACTTGATTTCTATTGGTCACTGCTCAACCAATGGAATTTCGAGGCGAATGGAATACAGATTCGAGTTCTCCACCCCAGAAAAGCTCGAACTATCATCTCTGTGATCGTAAGAACGAGCTCTATTTATGGATCAATTAGAGCGTGGACAAACACCGAACCGAATTCCGTTTAGTTATCTTTGCAATAGGTAAGCTAACTTTCTTGTTTCCTTATGTTTTATATACTATTTTGTAGCTCGTGAAATTCTCTATCGAATGGTATATAATAGTTGGAGTTTTATTTGACTATGATAGGAAAAGTTTTTTACGAAGATAGAAGGGTCTATCTTCTCATAGGGAGAAATGACTATTTTTCCAATAATTTAGCAATGGCTCGGCCAATGATTCTCATCTTCTTCTCTCGACCGAGATATTGTTGAGACTAAACTGTGTAGAAAATTTCATCGTGATCGGACTCTCCTTTCGAAAGTTATCGTGTGAACGGCCGGACACACTAACCGATTCTATAGTCTATGAACTTTTTGAGTACACAAAAATGATTTGTTAACTGTTTATATTGATTTTCTAGAGGAAAGAAAAGCATATCAATTTATAATATTGATTATTTTAAATCTTTATATAGAGTAAATAAATTGACTTCTGTTAATAATAAAATAAAATTTATTATCTATATAAATATGATATGATTGAAATAAACTCCAATATATAAAATGAGTATATTATATATTTGTAGATAATCGAGTAGGAGATGTTTGAAAATAAAATTTAAAGTTGAGTAATTTCTATTGTCAATATATATTATCAATAAATTCTATATTAGAATGATTTTGAGTGAGTTAGAAAATAAGTTAAGATAAAATATTTTAGTTTTATTTAAAATAATTTCATTTCGAATATTTATTAAATTAATTTTCAAAAAATATTTTCTCCCTAAATCTTCTAGATAAAATTTGAATAAAATAAAATAAAATCGATGATAAATATTTAAATAAATGTTAATTATGAAAAAAAACTAAGAAAATAAGATTCTGTAATTATATAAATTGTTTTATTAAAAATGAGTTAGAATTATTGAAGATGGATTTTCTTTTTGTTGATAAGCTCCAATAGGTAATAAAGATTTTTTAAAAGTTGTATTAATAATAGTAGCAGCAGAAGCATACCATGCTAAACCTGAAGTAACTATTCCAAACCATCCTCCTATATTTGTTATAACAGGTAAATTACCAAGATTTCCAATAATCAAAAATAAAAATGTTAAATTAAGTAAAAAAAATATGCTAAATATAATTTTTGAAATTCTCAAAGCAGCAACATTCATATAAATAGTAAAAATAAACCATGATAAAAGAAAAAGTCCTGTTGCTTGTTTTGTTTTATTAATAGGTTCAATTTTGGGTACAATTAAATAAACATAACCTGCAAAAGACATCCAAAAAGCTCCATAACTTGTAAATGTTGTTGCACCAAATGTATTATTAACTCTATATTCCCACATTCCAGCAGAAAATTGTGCTAGACCACCATAAAATAATGCAACTGGTAAAACAACTCCTTCTAAATGAGGATCAATTAAATTTGAACCAGCATTAAATACTGAAAGCATAAATGTTGTTAATGCAAATGCAGCAAGACCAAGAGGAGCAGGATTTCCAATAGGATTTGAAGGAGGAGGTGGAGGTGGTGATGGTGGTGGAGAAGAACTTCTATGAAATGTAATTAATCGTTCCAATATTAATTCTAATTGTTGATCTGTGAATGAAAATGATCTTTTTAATGGTAGAGAATTATTTTCTATCGGAACGATTTCAACCACCGAATCTGATTTTTGTTTGTTGATAATTGTTGGATTTACCGACATTTTCTTCTCGAATTATCTCAATAGAAAATATCCTTCCTACTCAATGTGTCTTCTACGATTTTTTTTGTTATCTCACGAAATGACTATATTATATTATACTTTGAAATTAACAACACAAATTATTAGAAGAAAAAAAAACCTACGCCTCAGTGACTCTCAATGTAATTTATGCATATTTCGGATGTGGGCGATTAATTTGTATTATATATTGCATAAAAACATAAACTAGTGTTACCTTTTAATGTTTTTTTTTTTCTTGACAAAGATTTGTTTTGTCGGAGTAACGGGTCTCGATATAATTCACCTTTGTATATTATCATTATAGATTAAATTCCCTTAAAAACGTCCCTGACACCTCGATAACAATCACCATCCAAAACAAAACTTTTATTCCAAGATATTGAAAAATACATTTGAAAATTGACTAGTTTTATTTCATTATTTTAATTAGGAAATTTACTTTTTCTTTTCATGAAGATAAATCTTAGATTGATACATTAGTAATAAAAACAAAAAAGGTTTTTTTTGCATAATAATAAATGAATATATTCACTAATATTATTTCACGATATACGTCAAGACAAAAACGTCAATGTAAAACATATTAAATGAACAAAATGTTAACAAAAAATAGTGAAGAACGGTGTTTTTCAATCATCGTTAGAAACAAAGTAATATTAGAAATAATTGATCCTATTGTTATTATTCTTTTCTTTTTATAATGTACTTTTATTCTCCCTATAAAACGATATTGACAATGCAAGAAAAAGAGAAGAATAGAAAATATGAATAACGTCATCGTAAATATTGTCGGCTCCTGACACCTTATCGTCGATAAAAAATAAGAAAAAATCAGTTGATCATCCTATTGCATTAACGGGTACATGAAAAGTTGACACTAAAACTTCCCAAAAGAAATATCTGCATCGAGCATTACACATCATGGAACGTTCGTACAGAATTTTCGCATGTGCACTTTGCCCATAAAATAGCAAATTCTAATTTTCACTTTGATAAACAAATAGAAATTACAGAAAAAATAAAAGTTTCAAACAAAAAAGAAAAAGAAAGACAAAAAAAGAATAAAGTTCGAGAAATAACATAAAAGTGGATTGAAAAGATTGGAAAATTGTTTGTTCGATGAATTTCTAGTTCGTTCATCTAAATGACATAATGTTGAGGTATATCATTTTAGTATAATCTTCAAATCTATAATCGACCTAATTTCTGTCGTGCTCATTATTTCGTTCTCATTCTATTAGGACTTTACTTTGTCGACAATTCGTTTTTTTCATTAATTGCTTATTCGATTTTTCTTACTTCAGTCTTTGCCGCATCATTTCACATGATTAATCATTCCATAAGGCTTCTATGACTTTCGACATTGTCATGATTCTTTCGAAGTCTTTCTCTTAACTTTACATGAGCTATTCCTGATAGTTTTTCATAGACTTTAACTACTTCTTCTGCGTTTCTCTTTTGTGTTCGTCTTATATAGTTATCAATAGATCCTATCGGTTCCTGTTTAACGTGTTTCTTCTCGACTTGTCAAAGTGTCAATTTTCAATATCATCCATTATTTCATCTTACCAACGTTTATATAGAAAAGCATTTCGTGATCATTTTTAGTTAGAAAAATAAGGAAATATCACTTTACTCACTAATCGAGACCGATCATCACCTTCATTTATTGACATGCCCAAAACCCATGCAAACAATTCTTTTGCATGGACTTTTCTAAAGTTGAATAAAATAGATGAAATAATTTGTATAAATATTAAATGGTCAGTGCGAAAATGACCAGTAGTTAATTGAAAAATGGTTAGTTGATTAAATATAAGTAATAGGAAAAAATTTCACTTTATATCAGTAAAAAAATAGAAAATTTATTAGTAGAAAATAAATTTAAATAAATGAAAGAATCACGGCATAAATAAGAAGAAATATTTAAAAAAAAGTAATTCAAACAAAAATAAAATGAAAATTGAATTATCCTATTAGTAAAGGAGATTTAGCCTTTGTTGGTCTACCTCTTTTTATTTTCTCATCGATCGACAGTGTCTTTACTTATTATGGTTTTACAAAATTTTAAACGAAAAACTATATCCACACACACTCACACACACTTTTTGCATACCAATTTCAAGACTATTGAAGATAAATTGAAAATCTTTTGTTTTTTTTTTTCATTTGAACATATTGCTAAACCAAATGGATGAAATGCTTTATTCAAATCAGTTTTTCCAATAATTAGGTAGTACTGGAAAACCTTCCCATACTAATTTATAAGTAGCAACAATATCTATATGTTGGAACATTGATCGGATCTTGAGCTAACCAACAGATAATATAACAAGGGGGAATAATCGGAATCCTGAAATTCTGAATTCCTCTGAATTTCAAAGATTCCCTATGATTCTTTCGGATTCCCTAGGATTCTCTAGGATTTCATCAGATTCTTTTGGATTCCTTAAAACTCCTTCAGATTTTCAAAAAGCTTCTAAAGTTGTCAAAGGACTCCATCTGTATCATCTTCAGGTTTCCGTGATAATATTTTTTTTTGTTTTTGTTTATTCTATTCTTTTGTGGTTATTGATAGATATATGCATTGATGAGTTGTTATTTGTTTAGTGAGTTGTAGTTCATAGAATGAGATTACCTCCACTAGAAGCGTTGTAACCGAACTGATCTCCTCATTTATCTATCAATAGATTCAGATCGATTTATCTTATCATCTGTCTAAGTATATAATTGCATCAGTAGAATTAGTTATTAATGAAAAATTTTTGATACTTTTTATATCAATAATCATATAATTAATGTTTCAATATACAGAAATGTTCGAATCGCTTTTTATTTAATTTAATTTACTTCCTTTGATAACTGGTGATAACCTATCGGTTGACAGACGATCATTTTTGTCAATCGACAGTCATACTGCTAACTGTTTATGTAAGAATTTCGTCGTATCATTAATTTTCACTTTGAAATATCAGTTTGCTAAATCAGGATTAATCTTATCTTCAATACGTGTTCGAAAAAAACTAGCTTTTATAGAGTGAACACGTTCAGTTGTTTCTTCATTATTAGATGTCGAATCCTCATCTTCATCATTACTATTATTATAAATGTTGTCTTCATCATCATTATTTTCATACGATATAAAATATTGTCATTCAAAATGAGATGGTTATACAAATATGGACGAATAGATAAAAATATTTTCTTTTGTAAATTGTTCAGTTAAATGAGGAAATATTGTTGAATAAAAAAATATTCTATTCAGTTTTAATTATGTCAATGTATCTTTAGTTGCATTCGAATTTTGCCTAGTCAAATTAAAAATTTGCCCACAAGATATATATTCAATGTGTATTATCGTGATATTTATATAGAAATGATAAATCTTTTATTTATGGATTTATGTTCAAGATTTTTTTTTACTGTTTTTAAATACGTGATATTATATCTAAATAGGAGTGACCTTACCATCAATCCTTCTTCTACTACTGAATTTTTAAATATTGTATGTTTATTGATCTTAATCTAAAATATATATCGAAAGAGATCCATTTACAATTTCACGATTTGAAAAGAAGAGGTTTTGAATAAGAAAATTACGATAAATGTTCTTACACTCTTCTATTAATCGTTGATGTATTTGAACATATTTTTTTCTGTAATAGTACTATTTATAAGGGCTTTTTGGGTGAAGATTCCAATATTCTATAGAATTCCATCATTCCGTATGATTCGATAAGATTTGAGGATTTAGTTTTCTCCCCCGTTCTAACATAAACATAGGAAATTCGTTTCTATAATCACCTTTTATATCTTAATATTGTTGATGATAATATAATATCTTCTATCATACAATAAAAGATTTCTTTTCATTAATTGAAATATTTTGATTATTTTCACACCATTGTTCAAATTGACCTAACTTATTTTATTTGAATGAAATTTCTTTTGTTTTTTACAAAAGGCAAGATAATTGTTTATCTATGCTAACGTTAGCATATTTATTTTTCTTTATTGAAATGCTTGAAGAGTCAGTTTTGATTTGTTTATACCATCATTATATAAATCTTCTATGTACTTTTCAACATTTTCATCAACACCACGAATTTGTAACACCATTATAATGTTCGTGTTCAACTTTCGTTTGATAAATGGTTAATTTATTCCTATCTCCATTATATAGGAGATGAATAGTTGCACGACATTGCGAGAATGACAACATTTGACTTTCTTGCATCTGTAATAAACTTTTCTTCTATCTTCTGTATAGTTTGTATACTATATTGATCATTGATTTATAATTGATATTTCTACTTTGTCATGATTATCAAATGTATATTTTTTTAGTCGAACATTTTCATATCTTTTTCTAAAGATTGACACTGCACTATCACCTTCATCGATTGTTTTTGCCCGATGATCCTAGTTAAAAATAGTATCATTTGGCGCAGATTTCAATTCTCTACATTGAACTCAACCATTTCTAGAGTCAACTCAAGTTGTCGAGCAAATCCGAATGGGAAATACTCTTTAAAAAAACCCTCAAAAAAGCAGTATTCACCGTATAAATGAGGTATTAGCTAGATGACCTTCGTCGAAAATAGCATCATTATCATGGAAAATATAATTCTGCATCTAACTCAATCAACTAGAGAATCAACTCAAGTCGTAAAACGAATTGGGACGCAAAAAAGTAAAATATAGTGCTAACTTTACCTAGGTTAATTAGTGTGAGTTCTCTTATGATTTTGAAATAGGGCCAATTTTGCTATCAAATTCACCCTCCAGCCTTTTAAATACATTTTAACTATATTGAGAGTTGAATTATTTCGTCCATGTTTATTTCTATGATGTATAATATGGAGATGAAATCAACTGTTGAAAATCTTTAATAAAATTGAATTTTTCAAATTGATTTTAAATGATAAAGATCTGAAGAAATGATTGAACTAAATAAATTGATTGTTTTATATTTAATTAAATAGATAAATAATCATTGATTAATTTAAAATAATATTTTATTTTAATAATTGTCAATGAAAAAAAAACAAACTTGAATTAGTTTATTATATTCGAATATATTTTCTGAGAATATTATTCTAGAGTCTCAAACATAAATAATATATTTATTTATTTATTTATATAATATATATCGAATAAATTTTTAATCATAAATGAGAATTTATTATTGTTAAACTGATATTTTCTTTTTCATCAATTATTCAAATATGTTCTTTTTAGTAAAGTTAATCATTATAGTTAATAGAAGTATTGAGATTTTTTTTTTGAAAATAAATTATCAATATTAATTTATCAATGGTGAATAATTAACTTGTTGCTTCTCTCAATATAGGATAGATATTGACATATTATTTTATTTATTTGTTTAGATAAAAATATTCAATTGATTTCAATATGCACACTTAACAAAAATGATTAAAATTAAAAAGAAAAACACGAAAAATTTCTAAGAATAGTTAATTAGATGAAAATCTTGTTTTGTTTTTTTTTTTGAAAAAATCTGATTATGATGATAAATAATAAATAGTGATTGTTAATATAATTAATTTAATTTAAGAAAAAAAACAAATTTTCTAGATTAATTATTGTTTAGATTATATTTAATATAATATATAATAACAAAAAAATCTAATAACGAAATCTTTATCGAAAATAGTTTTTATTGTTAATTAAATTTCATTTTTCTTTGCTTTTTTTTCGAGAAAAAGAAGAACAACAAAAGCAAAATTTGATGAGTGAAATTCTAGTTAAAGGCATATCGATTAGTGTCGTGATGCTTTTCTTAGACATGCTAATCGACGATCAATTTCTCTTATTAAATCAATAAATATCTAAAGAAAAAAAAACAACAACAATCGAAATAATATTTTTAAGAAAATAAATATTTTATTATTGAAATAACTTGATTAACATAAATAGAATGTTTAGCTGATGTTTGATAAAAAGGATACATCCATTGATCAGCTAATCTTTGACCTTTTTCTCTTTGAATAAATATTTCCGTATTAGATAAATCAACTTTGTTTACAACAAGTACCAATGCTGATTGTTCTTTCTATTTATAGAAATTTATTTCTTGTTTAGTTTTAAATAAATAAATAAATAAATTTATTTTAATATTCATTATTTTATTATAGAATAGATCAACTTGATCAAATGTTGATTGAGATGTTATTGAATAAATAATTGGAAAACCTTTACTATTTATAATATACAAATCACGCATTGATCGAAATGTTTCCTATAAGAAAAGAAAAACAAACCTTTATTTAATGTTTAACAAAAAAAAGTCTTGATTAATAACAAACAGTTCCACCTGTATCAAGAATTTCGACAAAAAATTCTTTTTGATCAATTTCAATTGTCTAAACAATTTCAAAATCTAATCTTAGTTAAATATAAAATCGAAATACTTTTTTTATAAACATCTTCAATTGTTGGATCATATCTATTAAGAAAAATTCCTTCAACAAATTCTATTGCCTAAAACAATAAGAAAATAAAATGAAGTTGATATATCTATTAAATAAATTTAAACAACTAACAAGACAACTTTTTCCAACTGCACCTTGACCAAGAATACATTATTTATATTCTTTATTTAAATTATTATTTCATGGAAATTCGAAATCTTCCATTTAACTTTATTTAAATCAATATTTATTTTCAATCGTCTAGAATAACAAGCAAAAATTCGACTAATAATTAATAATTATACATTGACTGATTTTTCTAAGACTCATTTTCTATTAATATATTTAAGTAAAATGAGATCATTCACCTGCATTTTTTCTCTTTATTTACTCAATAGAATGATGTTTTTCGATATGTTCTATTTTATATTTTAATTTATGCAACAAAATAAGATTGAATTATATTTATTGATTTTATTTTCAATAAAATCCTACTTATTATTAAGATTATTCTTTAAATCTAATCATTGATTAGATGAAATATATCAAAATAAATCTTCGAAATAAAAATACTTTCACATTTCGATATAAACAAATAAATATATTCTATATTCTATTCGATCAATTCTCGACAGTAGTTTATCATAAAGATTCGATTTGAAAAGATTTTTTTTT